TGTTTTACAAAATTAAATTTAACATATAATCAAAGTACATTTTTAATACAGAAAATAACAGTCTTAAGAAAATAAAATAGTTGTTCTTAAACATCAATTCTTTTGTCCATAATAATTAAATGGTTTCTTTAATTAAATAGTATATAAAATTCATTTAAAATATACTAGTTTATGCTCTCTTAAGCTTTTCTAATTATTAATTTTTTTCTAAAATCCTTTCATATTAAATCTTTCAAATAATACAAATATATACAAAATTCCCTTGCTGCTTATCCTAAACATATTTCATCTAACACTAATTCCTATTGTCCCATAACTAGCACACGACAGATGCCATTACTATAGATTATCTTCGGGGACATTGGAGACCAAAATAAATTGAAGTCGGCACAAAGGGCCACCTACATTTTGGCTGATTTATTTTATGGCTCCCTGGGCAGTCGAAAAAAAAGAGAATAGCCAGAAACAGCAGCGACACAGAACCAAATCAAGGGACACCATTAAAGTTCGCAACCGGAAACCGAAAAGGAGTTACAAAGTCCCAACTTACCTCCAACAAGTAAGGGGCCGTTGCCTTAATCCTTTCGGCCAAGTTTCGTTGAAAAAAAAACTTCATATAACCAAAACCGGTAGCAGATTTGTCACTTTTTCTATCGTATTTTCTGAATTTTTTTCTTGGAAATACTTTTGGCCGCACTCTTTAACACACAAGACTGGCAGGACCTGTTAGTCCGCCCAAGGACACTCACTCACACGGCACTGGCCCACTGGCATATTGGCACATTCTCAACATTCCACGAGATCCATATCCGTCCACATTAACCATTAGCCATTAGCCAGGTCCGAATCCGAATCCGATGCCCTTCCGAAGCTCAACCAGCAGAGTCCTGCCGCACGCACGTCCACAAGCGAACTGAAAGCTGAACGCAGCGCGCAGCCTGCGAAAAGGACATGCCGTTGTAGTGGTCCCTCGTGTCCTGCGAGTTCGGAGGAGCCCGGAGCGCTTCGGCTGCGACAGGATGCTGCCGGATGAAGTTGCCGAAGGACCAAGAGCGGAGCTTTGCCTCTCAATATTTGGCTCTGTGGTGAATTTAATTCGGCAAAGGCACTGGGAATAATTTTTGGAAAGAAATGTAATTTATAAATAAATATTGTTAATAATTAATGATTAATGATAATTTATAAATAAATATGATAACATTTTTAAAATGATTTTAATATATTTTACAATATTTACATTTAATTTATGTATATGAAGCCTTTTTATACCCTTGCAGGGTATTATAAGTTCAGTCAGAAGTTTGCAACGCACTGAAGGAGGCACCTCCGACCTTTTATTTATATATATTCTTGATCAGGATCAACAGCCGAGTCGATCTAGCCATGTCCGTCTGTCCGCCTGTCCGTCTGTCCGTCTGTCCTTCTGTCCGTCTGTCCGTTTCTACGCAAACTAGTCTCTCAGTTTTGAAGCTATCCGAATGAAACTTTGCAGTTAGCCTTCTATATACCCTCACTCATATATATGTCGGAACGGGCCGGATCGGACGACAATAACATATAGGTGCCATAGGAATGATCGGATAATTTTTACAAAAAAAACTATAACAATTTCAGTTTTCAACAGAATTTGATCAAATTTGAGATATAGCCATTTTACTATACTCTACAATTTTGTATAAAATTTTATGAAAATCGGACAACTATATCATATAGCTCCCATAGGAACGATCGAGAAATTAAGACAATTAAAATTATAACATTTTCAGTTTTCAACAGATTTTCATCAAATTTCAGGTATAGCCATTTTATATCAGTCTTAAATTTTGTGTAAAATTTTATGAAAATCGGACGACTATATCATATAGGTGACATACAAACAATCGTTTGATGTGGAGGAAAAATGCAAGTCAGTGAATGTAAAATTGCAAATATAATATGTATAGGTGAATTAAATGAAAGCAGGTATTACTTCATTGTTTTTTAACACAAATAAATATAATTTATATTGTTGGGTTTCCAAGTCATAGAAGTTCTATCTGCAAGGGTATATAAACTTCGGCGTGCCTAAGTTAGCTTCCTTTCTTATTAATATATTAAAATTATATAAAATAATATAATAATTATAATATTGTAATGGCAGTGAATAGCTTACTCTCGCCCTCTCTTTCTGTATGCCTCTGTAAGCCTCTGCCTCTCGCTCTCTTTCTTACTCACAATAACATTAGGTATGTCTCTCCCTCTGTGCAGCTCCGTTGCCTCCCTCTGTTGCAGCTCTAGAGATGGCGCTTACGCTCTATCTCTCTCTGTTGCAGCTACAGAGGTAGCTCTTTCCCTCTCGCTCTCTTTCTCTGTTATCAATGATCGGGAAGTATAAATAGAGGTTCCTTGATCGCCGCGACCTCAGTCTGTCCTAGGGGTACCTAGTGTTAACATCTTTAGTGATAGTGATAGTGATTAGCCTTCGACCTGAAATATATGACGTGGCCAATGGAACACATCCAGATAAACAGGAAGAGATCTTCGATGCCATGATAATTCTAATTGAAGTCACCACGATTATAAGTCGATACTGGAAGGAATTACATCTAAAGTGATAGTGAAAGAAGAACACTTCGATGAATCCATATCGTAAGATGATACTTAATTAACTCACCAGGAATATAACTCTACATCGGAAGGAATTAAGCAATGACGAAAGATGACGTGTCCTCTACTGGGGTAAGTCTTTATTTTGACAAATATATCATTATTATATTTTAAACATTAAGAGAAGCTATATTAGTGATCAGGCCTTTATTTTTTCATTAATTTCCTTTTTGCCATGGACCCCATTACTTAATGCTGATCAAGAATTTATATGATTTATAGGGTCGGAAATGGCTCCTTCACTAACACAAATTATATTTTCCTCTGCAACCGATTTTGTGTAAAATTTTATGAAAATCGGATTACAATATCATATAGCTCCCATAGGAACGATCGAGAAATTAATACAATTAAAAATTATAACTTTTCCAGTTTTCAACAGATTTTTATCATATTTGAGATAAAGCCGATTCATATTATTATACAATTTTGTGTAAAGTTATATGAAAATCGGACTACTAATTCATTTAACTGCCATAGGAACGGTCAAGAAATTAACGTTTCAGAAATAACGTTTTCAGTTTTCAGCTGATTTTCACTAAATTTGAGATATAGCCATTTTATATCAGTCTTAAATTTTGTGTCATATACTGCAAATTTAATATGTATAGGTGAATGAAATGAAAGCAGGTATTACTTTTTTGTTTTTTAACATAAATATATGTAATTTTTATTGTATGGATTCCTAGTCATCGAAGTTCTATCTGCAAGGGTATATAAAGTTCGGCGTGCCGAAGTTATCTTTCTTTCATGTTTATTATATTTTATATGCGTAATAAATAATATATTGAACTTTAATAAATATCTTGTACAATTTATCACAAATATAAATACTCTTAAGAAAAATTGTAATATAAATCATCTACAAAATTAATTTTACAACATTTGAGGCACAATTTTAATGTATACAAATCACTGAATTAATTTTCAAATTCCCATAAAGTTAAATATTCTATAAGGCCCAAACTCTCATTTGTTAAAATTTGAGTTTTGTAAGCAAACACACTGCTTTAAATTGCCATAAAAATATAACAAAAATGATTGCGTTCAATAACCTTTTGCACAATCAAGTTGAAATATCATTCAACACGAAAATATTAATAATATTCTATTTAACGGCAGTGCCAATATCAAGTAGCAATCAGCTGAAATTTGAGTAGCAATCTTGACAAAAATCCAGTTTCCTCATCAACTCAACTACATTCCAATAATAGTTGAGGCTCTTATTAGAAAAAAATCGAAGAAAAAACCAATCAAAATGAACAAGCAGCCAGCCAGCCCAGCAACTAGTTAAAAATTAAAATATCAATGCAAATATGCTGCTGCCACTGACAGTTTTTAATACATGCAAAGACAGATCTTTGGTGAGTTCGAGAAAAGTCGAAAAGTTCTAATCAAAACACGGAAGCGGGGCGGCAGCTTCTGAGGGGAGCTCTTAACATTCGACCAATCAATGGAGATAAGCGGCCAAGATCTATGTTAACCATGTTACGCTGTTAACATGGCCAACAGCAGTGACAAGTGCGGGTTAATTAAGGCGTCAAATTGAAGCTCTCTCTTACGGTAACTCTTAAGAGAGTCAGTAAGAGCGAGTAAGGGGCCTTAACGTGACACGATTAATAGTTTATAATTACGGGAATATATTAATATAGTGATGAAAATATTTAAGCAATTAAAAAATAAAGAATTGTTTTTTATTTTAGGAATGCCTTTATTGTAATCAAACTTAAATTGAAGCTAAATTTTGCATTTATGGTTGTGTTAATGTTTCGAAATTTAATTTCTTCTGATCTAGCCAAAAATGATAACAAAAACATTTAAACTACCAAAAAACAATGATGTCTATATATTTTTTGAATATATATATATACTGTAATAAAAATCTCATATTAGTTAAATTTAAATTTATGTTAGTTTAAAGTTGTCAAATTTAATTTCCTATAATTTAGACACAAAGATCTAGTCCATAAGGTTCTATAAGGCTCTATAATTTTTTAAGGACAAATGTATTAAATAATTTTATTTACTAAGCTTGACCTTAAATAAATATAATTTAATATAAACATTATATACCCCATGATCTTCCAGTTAAGAGAGACTTTGCTCTTTTGAAAACTCCAACTCGTGACACGTTCGCATCTCAAAACTCCCGCTCTTGCTCTGGCTCTCTTAGACGCGTTATCAGCTGCCGAAGCGGTCGAAACGATCGGGCCAAAAGGGTTGAGTTTCGTCGTCTCCCCGTCAGTGAACTGGGCTAAAAATCACACTCGGTTTTAGCACGTTTTCTTCAGCCGGCAATGCCGTTTGGCTATCTTCAAAAGCGCCTTAGTTGCATGCGGCGCGAGTTAGTTGCGGTTTAAGCGGCGAGCGGTGAGCATCTGGCTAAGAAAACGCTCCAAACGCGATCCCTTTTTGTGTTGGCCAAGTTGTAAAGGACTTTGTTCCACGAGTGATTCGGAATTTGCAAAACCAGACCCTAATCTGGTTGGACGCCATAAAATTTGGCCGCGTTGGTGCTAAGCAAATAATTATTTTTGTGATATCATAACGGCCCAGCCAGAGTCGTGTGATAAGTGAATAAACTCACCTGGGGATAAAGACCAAAGAGAGCGCGATTTGAGTAACACAATTCACGCATGTCATAAATGTTTTAACTCTGGATCCCATAAACATTTCATAAACAGAAACTTTGATATAACTAAATACAGTCAACGACAGTGAAGATAATTGTGGCGAAATCTTGATTTGGAATGTGAAATTATTGAATTTTTATAATAATTATTAATAGGAGAGAGCTTCAGTTAATTTAGGGAAATTAAGGAATTTATTGAGTCCTGTAATCGTGATTAAATTAAACTTTATTAAACCAAAATCAAACTTAGTTTCATAGATTAAGACTGTTTAAAATTTTAAGCAATGACATGATTTTAAATAAATTAAATAAATACCTTGTTAATGAAACTAGATTATTTTAAATCAACTAAAACTACTCTTTGGTTATAAATAATCTTGACACTTTAAAAACTCATAAATATCTTCAACCTAATAGTATTTGTCTATAAAAAAAAACCCCCCTAAACACACACCAAGCCCCTCAAATACCTACCAACTTCAAAGCACTTACAAATGGCCTTGACATTGAAAAAAAATCTCATAAATTGTTTTTTGTCTGGCCGTCACAAAAATAATTGCTTCAGGTCCATAGAGATTCTAATCGGCAACGAGAAAAATCCCTTACAATTAATCTTTGAAAAGCCTGATTCACAATTCATAAATTACTGTCCAAATTTTTGATGTTTTGTTTTTGTTTTTAGCCAAACATAAACAAAGTCTAAGAAATTGATTTCGGTTTTCGGTTCTCCACATTGTTGCCTTTTTTCCACGTCGGCACGTAAGCCAAAGTTTGTTTTGATTTCGACTTCGGCTTTTGTGTTTTTTTGGTTTCTTTGTTTTGGTTTTTCGGTTTTGCGGCCTGTAATGAAAAGCACATAACAAGCACCTCTTGGAAGACTGGTTCTGGCCAAAAACCGGCTGACCATGATGGCTTGGCCAGAACCGGGATGTATGGTTGTCAGGGATTTCCCAAGGAGAAATCCAGGGCAGGGAATCCCCCAATTGGCAATTGGCTCCGGCTTCGGCCCAGCGATAAACCGCTTAAAAAATCTTCCATTCCATCTTCGCTTTTGGTCCGTTTTTTTTTTTCTGCCACATTTCACTCTCCTCTTGGCCGCCTACCCCAACATCACAAACGTATATACATATGTTTTATGGCCAACAAAGAGATCAAAAAATGCGGTCAAGCGGCATCAGCTAATTGTTGTCAAATAAATGGTCAACCAGGGAAGATACTCGTTAAAAAACGGTCTCGAATAAATCAAATTACTATAAACGAGCCACATAATTATATGTAAAAACGTAAAAACGGAAAACACTTTAAGTATTATGCAACATTTTACGAACGTGTGATTTGGTAGTATGTACAAAAAATAAACACTCCACACACACACACCACAAAAAAAAAAAATACAAAAAGGCAACAAATAAATAATATAAAAACAAACTTTGCATAACAACAATTTCTGATTGATTGTCAGAGAAATTGGCCATTAAATGAATCAAACAAATAAGAAAAAAGGAAGAGGTAATCAGATTAAGTTCAATCAATGAAAGATAAACGAAGACCCTTCAGAATGATATTGTTTATGGAAAACCTGATTAAATAATATAAAGTGTTATATGTATTATGTTAAATTTGCCATCCTAAACATTGTTTAAACAAAAGCACACTTGAAACTCCACTTGAATATGTTGTATTATTATTTGCAGCTCAAGTGGGTACTTCAAACTAAACTATTTTAATAAAGTAATTTACCCATGAGATATATACATAAAGTTTCATTAAATAAATTATATTCAAGTTTAAGGGTTCTATATTGTTTACTAATATTTTCTCAAGATTAAATTAATGCAGATTGCCCAAAGGGGAACTCCAGCTGTGGTCATTCAAGAGGAACCGAAACCCTACCCATCATGAAATCTATTTTTTAGATGAAAAATATATATAAATATTCATTAGATCACCGCAAAAGTAGAACTTTATTCGCTTTGGAATTCACCTGGTGTTAATTTCAAGGGAATACCCTTTTGGGATTTCAATCTTAACCCATTTAGAGAGTGAGTAAGCTATTCAAACACGTGACTCTGACGCTGGAGAATCAAAGATGCATGTTAATTAAAGTGATTGTGTCAAGAGGTATTAGGAAATTGACAAATGGATAATCAAAACGTTTAGTCATGTCAGCAAAAAATAGTAAATATCTCTAAGCTCTAATTATGAAAAACCACTCACTTGTCATCTGGTAAATATTTGAAAACTGATTAATTATGAGTTTCATCATCAATTAATTTTCTAGTTCCGCTTGGGAGTAAGAGATTTTTTTAATTCAAAATTGAATTTACCCCACTAAATGCTTATATCTTTTTAATGAGTTTTCATTGAATTTTGTGTTGTTTTTTACGATGTTTTTCCCCTTAGACTAAAAATGAAGTGCCACGTAGCCGGGCACTTAATTCCTAATTAACGGAAGTGCGTTAAGGTCCTTGGGGCCTCAAGGTACTCGCAGTTCATAAATCTTTAAGATGTTTTAAGTGTTGCCAAAATAAAGGTAGAAGACAGGAGAAGTTCTCCTTGAGATATTTTATAAATTTTTGTTAGAATAAGGAATACTCTTTAAAGGAACTAAAGAACTTTTATAAAGAAATAAGGTAATTTAAAAAGAAAAGGTTAATTTAAATGTAGAAAATAATTTGCCAGAAAAACTTTATGGTAGAACTTGTATAGGTTTAAAATTATAAATACAACTTTAAAGACAGTTTATGATTTTAAATATTTATATAAATACTTTTAACATAGTTTCTCAATATTTAACAATATATAAATTAAACTTTATAAATTAATAGAAACCTTTAAGTTAACCTTCTTGATTATTTCAATCAACCTTCTTGGGTAGCATAATTTTTATGTTGCCCCATAAAGTGTAACCTTGATGTGTATGAAAAATGCCTAACGCAATTTCTTTCGTATTTTCCTCGGCGGCATAATTTCTGTGTGTTTTTCTTTCTTTTTGTATTTTCTTTCCTGTTCATAATTTATGCGCAGTTTTCTTTATATGACCCTGTCTGTGCCTTTCGTGGATTCCGCCGGACTTTGGCTTTTGGACACTGGACGTGAGCAGCTGCCTTCGGGCTGTGTGTATGTCTCAGTGTGTGTGTTCTTAAGGAACAGCGTGCTAATTAATTAAATTTGTACGTGCTGTATACGGGTGTGTGTGTGTGTGTGTCTGGGTATAACTGTCTTGAGTTGCTGGCCATGTGCTGATAGGACCAAAAACACATACTCGCACACGCACGAAAGGAAGGCCTGCGACCACGGAGCGTATGAGTGATATTTACAGGCAGGCCGTAAATCATACTTAACTTAATATACAATATATATCCCTCATATGTTTTGCCCTTTTTGGCCATGTGCGTGCTCCCTTTCTCTAAGGGGTTGACGAGGTCAATAAAAGGATGCTTGGCCAATATTATTTTTGGGGGAAATAGGGTTAGAGGAGATTTCCATTGATTGAGTTTTGGAAAAGGCGACTCCCAAAAATGAGATGAACAATTTGTGTAATTGTTATTGTTAATATTGTTAATGGGAAATTGAGTTGATTAGGCAAAGACAGATAATTAATTAAGGGGAACTGGCAAATATATTTAATTATGTTATTTTATATGCAGTTTTTAGTATATATAGTGCTACTTTATTTATAGTACACCTTTTACTATTGATCCCTATTATTAAGCTGTATTTTTTATTTATAAGATCAAAAATTCTCTAACTCTAGTTAGAAATATTTATTTTACTTTACTTAAAAAAGGGTTTTTTCTCAAATTATCGATTATCTATATCTAATATACCCACAATTCCAACTTCCAAGGCTATTACTTTGCCAAATAACCTTGAACCGGGGTAAAGTATTTATATTACTGCCCCATTATAATCCAAAATTGTGCACCTATAAAAATAATACATACAACATTTTCAATGGCAGAACAACTCGTTTTATAAACAATCAACGAGACCATCTGCCAAGCCCCACCAAAAAAAAAAAATATATATATATATACATTATTGGTACAATAAGAATGAAATACCAATACAATTTGGGATTAAATGCTGCCATCAGACAGCTGAATAAATACATATTTTAGCCATATAATAATAACCATATTAAGTGTAATTGAAGCTCCGCCACTAGTTGTACTAATAATAATAGTCCATTTTCATTTTATTTTCCTCATTTGCAGGCAATTTGTGATACGAAAATCAACAACAACTTCCGCATAGCAATTCCATAATTCCCAAAAATATATATTCAATAATAAAAATCATTCCCAAAACAAGAAAAAGGAGAATTTTTGGCGAGCAACAATCGAAATAAAAACAATAAACGCAAATTGAATAGCGTAAGCCATAATTATGACCAAATGAGCCGCTTGGCCCACAGCAACAACAACAACAAAGTCTAAAATACGAGGAAGAAACAACAATAAAAACAACAACTACGAAATGCGGCTTATTAACAGGCGATTAACAGCCACGCAGCTGTTAACAGCGAGCTTAGCAGTGCTGCTGCTACAGTTTGTGGGTCACGGCAGTGGAGCTCAAACTGTAAATTCCTCATCGGGTGAGTTATAAACTTAAAACTAATTTTAAATTTAGTTCTAATAGTTATAAATTAGATTTGAAAATGTATACAAAACAAATATGAATTTACCTTATAAAGTTGTATTTTGTTTCAACTTTTATATGTAGCTTGGGCTTGAATAATGCCCTAAATATGTTAATTTAAAAATGTAGTTTAAATTTCTATATTCAATCTATAATATATTTTTAAAAATCTCTTTAACCTTGAATCTTAATTTAACTGGGCTTATTTAATAATACTGATATATAATTAAAATATTAATAGAAAGGAAACTAGTTTATATACTCTTGGAGTTTACAATTAATTTATAGGATTATAACTAAGCTTTAAATATTATAATTCTGTGAAACTAAAAAACACATAACTAAGCCAAAAAAGCATTAATCTTAATTCGGAAACCTTTCCTATGTTAATTTTTATAAGCTTAATAAATCTGCATACTCAATATAACATTTTCGAAAATTAAAATTTTTATCAATTTTTTAGCCATTATCTTCTTATAAAAAAAAAAAAATTAGGAAAAATTTTATTTTCAGCCGAACATGGCTAGATCGACTTGGCTATCGATGCTGATCAAGAATATATATAATTTATGGGGTCGGAAATGACTCCATCACAACTTTTGACTTAAATTATAATATAAAAATCGTTTAAAATATCGTTTTAGGGTTTTATAAATTATTAAATATATTTGAAACATTTCAATAAATGTTGGGATAGGTAATAAATTTTAACTTAATGCATATACATAATTCAATTGATTTAAAACAATAATTAAAATAATAATTATTTAATACTTTGATTAATAATTACATTTTCATCAAACAAAAATCAATTACATATATTTCTTATAGTGTAGAGCTAAAATTACTGCAGTCATTAGCGTAGAGAAGCTTCACTTGGCCAATTAAAAGGTCTTGACCTTGGCCAACATTAATGGCGGTGTTAAAAATTAGCACCAGGTAAAAATATATATATATATACACCCGTACAAGTATCTTTCTTTAGACAATGTTAATGTGTATTTGCCATTCACATGCGAAAATTCAAGTACCTGTCCACCTGGCGGCATGTGAATTTGCGTAAGTCCCGGCAAATAATCAGGCAAGTGCTTGGCTGATGGTTAAAACAAACGTCGGTGCCGGTAGGCAATCATAATAATGGCCATAACGAGCCAATAAACGATGCAGCCCATCGGACACACACCCACACCCCTTCCCCCCTTTGAAAAACAGTCAATAAACGCGGCCTTAATGCGTAACTGACAGACAGCACCGCCTATATGCGATATGTACGTGCAGCTCGTCCCTCTTTCTACCATATATTATAATTTATATGCCAAACAGATGCTGACATCGCCCAGTCTCCCTTAAAAAATAAAAAATATATATAAGTCGAGGAAAAACAAAATGATATCCCCAACCAGGATGAGCTTGAGGTCCCATATGCCAGAGGCTCATATTTCATTTCACGACAAAACTGTTGATTTACTCATGAATAATGTCTTTTGCTATTGAAGAACTTTTAAAGTCTGCATTTTGTAGGAGATAATTCTTCAATTTGTTTGCTTTAAACTTTATTAAGTGATAAATTTAAATACTTTCAAGTTTTATTAACCTTTGTCTTATGTTTATATGTTTTTTAATTAGGTCCAAATTACTGGAAAAATTCTTTTGCTTAGATTTCTATGGCGGGATAAACTTTGAGTTGTACAAAGTGTTATTATTTTAAATTAAAAGAAGAACTTCTAATTATTATTTTGATTAAAATGCCTTTTAAAATATATTTTAAAAGTTTTAAATATTTTCTAAACCTCCATCAACAATAGGACATAACTCTTTATAATAGTTTAAAAAAATACCCTTTTTTTACTCAACCTTTATCAAATAAATAACACTTTATAGACGATTAAATGCATTTTATTGGCTAATAATAATTATTGTATATATTTTTAATTACACAAAAAGCGGTTGTATTTCTTGGAAGCTAAACAAAAACATCTTATCAGCTTATCTGGTTCTTAATCACATCGTGTCGATGGCTGTCGTAAAAGGTAATTGTTTTTTAATGTGAGAGTGTATTTTTAGCAGTGATTTTCCAAAACCAAGTAGTCAGGCCTTTGAAAAATTCTTCTTTTAGTTCGTGTTGTTGGTCATAAACTGCAAAATATATTGTGTTAACTGCATTTAGTTGGTTCAGTTAAGTCACTTTCATGGTCAGTCGATTTTATGGGCCTGTAAAGATTAGCCATAGAGATCCGATTGTGAGCAAAGGGCAATTATAATTTACTAACTGGAATAAAGAAATTAAAAAAAAAAACGAGTGAGTTCACCCAACTTGATCCGGATCTTGATGGCATTTTAATTAGCATTCTTGACTCTGATCTGTGTGCACTAATTAACATATAAAATGTCGACACCTGTCTTATGGCCCCATGAGCAATCACAGTTTGATCAAATGAAGGCAAGGAATGTCAGGTGAAATTTATTATCCACAAACTGGTGAAGCAAGAAGATTTATCTGCAAATAGAATGCCTTAAATGTCAACTTAAAAATAAGAATAAATTGTAAATAGTATTTCAACAGATTAGTTCTTAGTTTATTGTGGTAAGCCCATAAATAATCTTTACAAAAACAGGTTTGTTTTAGTTCTAGAAAATATAATTCAGAATACCTATCGCAATTCTCACTTTCATTATAATTCCCACATGTCTATCCAAAGGGAATGATTCAGAATACGTTAATTCCAAATCACTGTCCGGGTTCAAGGCACCTGGAGAGCCAGGCTATTAGCACCTGTAACGATCATTTATGAACTAATAATAGCAATCTGGAGTTCGCAGACGAATAAAAGAATGCAAAAGTGTGAAAAATAATGCCATACATTCAATTAAATGTGCTATAAATTATGGAGTTGTCTCAGGCGCGTGATAATTCGTAAAAAAAAGAAATAAAGACAATTGTTTTGGTCTCAAACTGTTTGTATTTGTCTCTTTTTTCTGCTTTTTTTTGTTTATGGCCACGTGAATTATATTTACCGTGGTTTTAATGTCATTAAACAATTGTTTGTCAGAGCAAACACGAACAAAGCCGAATAATTACCTGAACAGAATTTTCCTTGAGTTGTCAGAGCTTTTGTTTATTAATCCAATCTAATTATGTTGACAAAAAAAGGGATTTTACCTTTCTTGAGTATGCTTAAAGGGAAAATTTAATATTATGGATAAAGGTACATATAACCATAATTGTTAAAGATTTATTGTTATATATTTTATTTATTTATTTACGAAAAAAGCAAATGTCTGTCAGCTTTAGTGTCAAAATATTGCTTACCAAAATGGGTCAACAATCCATAAATTAAATATTAATATCGTTAAGCCAATTTTGAGTAGATTCTAAATGAAATTTAAAACTCTAAAAGATTTTCATTTGTTTTCAATCCGTTGAGTTCTTTTTTACATAATTTTATCGCTTTTAATTAGTTTTCTTACTCCTCAACACTTCAAAATCTATAAACATTTAATTAATAAACATTTCATCATTATTATTTTCTAGAAAATACCATTTGCCTGTACCAGGAACACAACACCACTTACCGTAAGGAGCTAGGAGCTGTATGGTTTTCCGCCAAGGATCCTTGTTTGGTTTACTCCTGTGCCGCAGGTGTGGCCAAGGATCCTCAAGCTCACATTGTGGTAACTCAGGTGGATTGCAATGAGTTTTACTGCGAAGTGGTAAGTAATTAATTTAAAACCTCTTCTCATGAATTAATTTCCTAATAAATATATACCTATTCCCAAGGGTTCTGAGCTTCGCAGTGCTGAAGGCAGTTGCTGTGGGGAATGTGTAAGGACTCACTGCCAGCATAACCATACCCTCTATGCCGTGGGCGAGTCCTGGCACAATGATGCCGACTGCACACTCCTTGAGTGTGGTCGCCTGGAGAATGGCCAGATCATCATTAATACCTACAAGAGAAGCTGCCAACCTTTGACAGAAGACTGTCCTGCTTCGAGACTGGAAACTAAGAATTGCTGTCCCTACTGTAGACCCCTGAAAACTTCAAGGATTGAAGTACTCCAGGAAGATGAGATTGAAATCTCGGATGATATATGGACAGCTGAATGGTATCGTCAGCATCCTTGCAACCGGGATTGCCAAATGGGAGCTGCGCCCATGACTTGTCACTATACCTTTGTGGTGGAATGGTATCAGACCTTCTCGAAGGCTTGCTATGATTGTCCTCGAAACCTCACCGATTGCTCTCGGCCGCACTGCATCATGGGTGATGGTTTGGAGAGGAGCATCACTGTGGTGAATCGCATGATGCCAGGACCTTCGATCGAAGTCTGTGAAGGAGATCAAATTGTGGTGGATGTGAAGAATCATCTGCTGGGTGAGAGTACCTCCATCCATTGGCATGGTTTGCACCAGAAGAAGACACCTTACATGGATGGAGTGCCTCACATTACCCAGTGTCCCATAACCCCGCATGCCAGCTTCAGATACTCCTTTCCTGCTGATCTCTCTGGCACTCACTTCTGGCACTCTCACACCGGAATGCAACGTGGAGATGGTGTCTTTGGAGCTCTGATCATTCGGAAACCAAAGATAGCTGAGCCCCATGGCAGTCTCTATGACTTTGATTTGAATGAGCATGTAATGATTGTCCAGGATTGGATACATGATACCGGAGCCAGCATATTCTCCTTCCATCATCACTCTCGGGGTGATAATAAGCCTCATAATCTGCTCATCAATGGAAGGGGACGTTATTACAATCGCATTTGGGCCGAGGCCAAGCAGATTCATCGCAGAACTGAGGAGAGGACAACCCAGCCCCAGGATCCTTTGCCCAAGTCACAGGTGGACTTTGTTCAGACTTTGCCCCGTCAAGCGCGTTTGGCCAAGAGCAACAGCACCAAGCTCTTCCCCGTACACTCTCGCCAGAAGAGGGGCAATCTCAAGGAGATTCCTCTGGAACTGGTCCCTCATCAGGTTTATAATGTGCGAAGGGGTTTCCGTTATCGCTTTAGGATTATAAATGCAGAATATCTCAACTGTCCGATTGTGGTTTCCGTGGATGGTCACAACCTAACAGCAATCAATTCAGATGGCTTTGATATCGAGGCCATGGACGTGGGCTCTATAGTAACCTATGCCGGAGAGCGCTTTGATTTTGTTCTAAATGCCAACATGGATGTGGGAAACTATTGGATTCGTCTCAAGGGTTTAATGGATTGCAGTGAGGTCTTCACTTCCGCTTTTCAAGTGGCCATTCTGCGATATGAAGGTGCTCCCGATGAGGAACCCACGGCAGCTTTAAGTTATGCCCACAAGGCTGAGGGGATTGAGTTAAATGTGATGAATCGAGGTCCTGGTTATCCGGATACCAAGACTGTGGCCGAAATGAGGGCTTTGCCTATATACGATCATGTGTCGGGGATTGATCATGATACCCTTAAACCGGAAGCAGACTACAAGTTCTTTATCTATTATGATTTTTACACTAAGAACAATCCTGATTTTCATGACAAGGACCTATATGCCATGGATATGGAGATGACTCAGCAGAATCGACTTTATACACCTCAATTGAATCATATAACCTTGAAGTTTCCTCCAATGGCATTGCTTCCTTCGAGAAGTCAATTAAAGGACTCGGATTTTTGCAATGAAACAAGTCTGGCGGATCAGGGAATTGACTGTAGAACGGAGTTCTGCAAATGTCATCATGTCCTTCAAGTTCCCCTGGGTGCAGTCGTGGAGTTAATCATTGTGGACGAGGGTTTCCAATACTATGCCAATCATCCTTTTCATTTGCATGGTAATGCCTTCAGAGTCATGGGATTGGAGCGATTGGGAGATAATGTAACCATTGAAATGGTGAGTTTGTTTTCAAATCTTTAACCTAACTCTTTCTTAACTAAAATCGAATATTAATATATATTTCTAGATCAAGCAACTGGATCAATTTAATTTGCTGAAACGTAATCTGGTGAATCCTCCAGTAAAGGATACAGTGACCGTACCAGATGGTGGTTATACCATCATCCGATTTGAGGCATCCAATCCTGGCTATTGGCTCTTTCATTGTCACATTGAATTCCATGCTGAGATTGGCATGGCTTTGGTCTTCAAAGTGGGGAATGATGATCAAATGGTTCCGGTTCCTGAAAATTTCCCCACTTGTGGCGATTATAATCCGGATTTAAAATCGGATGGTGAAGCTACGGAAGATAATAGCAAACCCACAACTGGTAGTCCACAAAATACTGGCGGTGGAGGATCAGGATTGGAATTTAGTATAATAACTTTGATTGTTAGTCTTTTGCTGTTGAAGTTCCATTGAGGAGAAAGAGAGCATAACACCGAAACTTGCCAAATTAAGAACTTAGAGATTATTTATTAAAGACAAGTGAAGAACCTGGAGATAATATTGATTTGACAAAGAAATTAATTAATGTTCTCTTGCATTTGTATATATATTCCATAGCATCATTTGTAGCCTAAACATCTGTGATTGTCTGAAGAAAGCGTTAAAAGCTCTTTGAAACCATAATAAATGTACGTTAATCTTTTTATAAGAATAATATAGAAAAGATGTTTTTAATTGGGATGAAATGGCATTGGAAATTTTTGTAATGATGTGTAAATAATATATATTTATATATTAGCAAAAGGGAAACCGCTAGATAAGAAGGGTTTTTGTTATCTAATAACAGAAAGATGATCATTCTAACTCCTTGATAAAAACCTGGGATCTATACTTAGAATCCTATTAAAAGAACAGTTTTTAGCTTAAAATTATTACTTTTATATTAAATTCCTTCCTCTAAATCTCTCAATACTAAACCAAAACTGATGCAACTTTGTTGAAACATTGCCGCACTTACCTGCAATTAAATTGTGCAATTTATTTTAATGAGGAACAATCTTCCAGAAGATGTCAGGTGGCGAGACGCCAACGCCCTCGGTTGCATTGATAGCAATCTTATCTGGTAACCACTGGCAACAGCTGGTGACTAACTTGTTGTCGTCTTTTCCAAGCTCTCAGAGGTATCAATGCCTCTGCAGGGACCTGATCTCTGACCCCCTGACCCCCTGGAGGAAGATAGACGAATCGATGGCGATGTTGTTGCATTCCGCGGTGCAAAGTAATCTGGAAAGAAGCGATGGACATCTGGTGCAGGGCATCCGGGATATTATATAAGCGCAGTCACTTGGTGGAAATTAGTCAGACGGAGTCAGTCAGTCAATCATTCCATTGCAGTCCAAGACAATCAATAAAAATCAATCAATATGTTCGATTGGACCGGTAAGAATGTCGTCTATGTGGGCAGCTTCAGTGGCATCGGATGGCAGATGATGATGCAATTGATGCAGCAGGACATCAAAATGATGGGCATCATGCATCGCATGGAGAACGTTGAGATGATGAAGAAACTGCAGGCCATTAATCCTTCCGTCAAGGTTGTGTTCATGCAAATGAATCTCATGGACAAGAAGTGCATTGATCAGGCCATGAAGAAGATGGGCCAGATGATGGGCCACTTTGATGTGATGATCAATGCTGAGAATGTCCTGCTCGACAAGGATGTGGAGACCACGATGGGAATGAATCTGGTAAATTATATCTTGTACTTTTCTTGTTCATCTGTTTATAACTCTGATTTTTCTCTTTAGACTGGCATGATCCATGCCACAATGATGGCCATGCCTTATATGGACAAAACCCAAATGGGATTGGGCGGCATGGTGGTCAACCTGGCTTCCGTCTATGGTTTGGAACCTTCACCTGCCTTTGCTGTCTATGCCGGTGCCATGCATGGCGTCCTGGGCTTCACTCGCTCTATGGGAGATAAGATGATCTATCAGAAAACTGGTGTCATGTTTATGGCCATGTGCCCGGGTCTTACCACAGGTGAAATGATGATGAACCTAAGGGATAATGTCACCTGGCATCATTCCGAGTCCATGGTGGAGGCCATGGAGAGTGCCAAGCGTCAGATGCCGGAGGAGGCTGCCACCCAGATGATCAAGGCCATGGAGATGATGAAGAATGGCAGCATGTGGATTGTCAATATGGGACAACTGAAGGAAGTGATGCCCACGATGCACTGGCAAATGTAAGAAGCAGGAAAGCAGGTTAACAAATAAAGAAAAAGCTTTGATAGAGAGATAAATCATAATGGTTTTTTTGAATACCTGAGAAAATAATATAAATCCAAAAGCAGTCTTGGGATATTTGAATCTTGCAAATTCTCAAATAGTAGGCTTTTACTTTATATTACTTATATGTTCGACCTATACCCCTCGTCAACTCATAATCATTCGTAGCCTCGTATAGAGCACATTGATTTCTTTTTTTGGAAATACAACAAACTTTAAGTACAAAATTGTTTACCATATAAAATTGTATAGCTAAATTTGTAATTTATCTTGTAACAATGTCGGACACAACCGATAGTCCGGTATCAGAATTAAGTGACACATGTATTTACTGCGGTGATTATGTCCCGCCAGCTAGTAAAACTTCGCGCCAGAAAGTACCAAATTCAAAATTTAAATCGCAAAACTCTCCCACATGTCGAGTACCGCCTAGGACTCGGAAACGCAGGGTGCCAGTTGATAGGCCCACTTCCTATCCGATCAGGCGCCGCCCGGCTCCCAAGCGGAGGCCCAGGAAGCCCAATAAGGTTCGTAACATCCAGCCAGTACAGGAGGATCGCACCGTAATGACGACTTCACAAGTGGAAGCAAACCCTTTGGAGTGTGAACTTTCCCCTATTCTCAAGGGCATCATTCTCGGTCTAAGGCTAGGCACCCAAATTAATCAAGACTTTGGAACGACTGGCGGGAGATGGCCAACAATTAATTGGGAGCAATATAGGGAATTCCGAAATTCATCGCCAAACCGTTTTGTCACTGCACGGAACATTCAAGCCCTAGAAGAGAATCCAGCGGATCAATCGAATCGTGAACTTCCATCGATCTCAAAGCCTTCTTCTCGTACTTCCATCGCCAGCAGAAGTCCATCTGTTAAAATTACTGAAGTGCCACAGACCGAAGATCCTGACCAAGCTCTAGATCTGGGAAGCATCCATACTCAAACCGGTTCTCAGGGCTTGTTGTCGAATCATGGTAGTGTTCAAAACCTAATCCAGATTGAAGAAGATGTTCCGATGATGAGACCAGATGAAGAACCTGTCCGGAAGACGAAAGTCCAGAATGTAGGCAACAACCAGCTCCAATCTAGGCAAAACCTATAAACAATTACATTCGTATAACAAATATGTTTTTATTTGTATTTAAAATACAAATTTACAATTCGATAATAGTTAAAAATCACAGATTACTTTAATGTAGGTACGTCTTTGTATATAAATACAAATAATGGTATAATCAAGGTTCAAGGCTCTAACCTGAGATTGTCTATTATCCGTTTGGTAATTCAGTCTTAATTACAATTATTCTTCTCCATCTTCCTTCTGAGCTCGGCGGCAAAATCTGCTTTATTATAGCTAAAGTTGCGGCGAATGAACTCATTCAAAACCTTTGCCTGGCACTGTCCCACCTCAAGTGTGGATCGCCAGTCGGCAACATTTTCCGGTTCCACCTGATTCTCCAATGGAGCAAACTCCGGCTTTATTGGGCAGTCATAATGGCGGGAGTGAGCCCGCTCACTCATTGGGTTATGGATAACATGTCGGCAGACGGCGCACTCGAACTTCTCGAAAAGGGATTCACCCGGCGAAGAGTCGCCTATGTGATACTGGCGCGTAACTAGATTAAGGAGCAGCCACTTATTTGAGATGGGATTCTGGGTATTGAGTTTGTGGCTCCTAAACGAATCGTACTCTGTTTGATTTTTAGCCAACTTGGTTAAATACTCGGACAAGGCACGCGGATTGGGGAAATCGTTTACATAAATTGCAGATTTGTTATTCGGTTGCCAGTCCTTAAAAAATATACTATTTAAAATGCATCATTAAATAGATTCAAATAATAACTTACTTTAATTGTGGAGGAGCCAAAGTAAATGGGCACAACGCCTATGACCAAGGGACGCCAAAACTTTTCAGTTATATAATCGGGACAGGCAGCGTTCTCAATTGCAATCATAAACTTGTAAATGGATAGGAATTTCAAAAGCTCTGGCGAATACAGATTGTTCAGATAATCCTTATTTAAACTGAAAAAAAAAGATAATGTTGATTGCTTAATTGACTTCAAAGGGCTCTTCTTACCTCTCTGGCAGCTCCTTGTTCTTCAAGCAGCCTCCAAAGAATCAACCTGCATATATTTCATCAGCTCCTTTACATAATCCTCTCGTCCGGACATTGTGTCACAATCGCTCTGCAGGAACACTATCGATGCCGATGGGTAGGACTTGGACTTTTCGTCATACGGAATGTGGTATTCCAGCGAGGTGAGAGCTTGCCCGCTGGGCAAATACTGTGTGGTCAGTGGCATATTGCTGTAGCGGCTGAACGTTGATGTAAAGTGGAAATTGTGCAGAAATTCCAAGTGGGGCACAAAGGGCACATTCCTGGGCGATTCCTCATGCAGTAAGGCCCAAATTTGCTGCTGTCCACGAGGCAGCGGAAAGTCACTGATCTTCATGTCAGATCCGTAGAACATAACACCCTGTTTGTGGAAAGGAAATGAGCTTAGCTTATATGTACATATGTGATAAGGCGCTGCCGGATGCGGATAAGGGGATGCAATCTACACAGTACGAACCCGGGCCAACGGCAGGCGGCTCCGCTTGTTGCTGATGCGGCATGTGTCAACGCCGCACTGGCGCACCTCGTCGTAGTCGAAGGACATGGTACGTGACCACCACAGCAGATGGATGGGATCAGGGGACTTGGAGCTATCGTAGCTCGAGATCCATTGGGAGCAGACGAAGAGAAATGCCAGCCAAAGCCAGAATATTACACCGACTGCCACATAGCAACGTCGTTGCAGCCGCATGGCTGTGCTTCAGGTCACGATTATTTGTATATTTTAAATATAATATTTCCTTGTTTCTTTTTAAAAAGCCGGTGCACCGCTGTTTTGGAACGGGGATTTTTTCAACAGCTGACAGCTGATTTTCGCTTTCAGTGTTGGTAAACGTGCGAATGGGCCTGGCACCTTACACATCATGTTAGCATCGAAATTGAGCGGTTAGATTTCGATAAAAATCGTTTAACAGTAAGTGGTGGACATGGGCCGATAACTTAGGCGCGAACTATGAAAATGGAACCATATGTGAACATGAAGAGAACCAGTTCCAAAACCTAAACCATTGCAGTTCGAGCACTATTAATGAATTATAAATTATATATATTTATGTCAATAAATCATCCAAATAATGCCTAGTTTTGTAACATTTACACATACTCTGTTTGTAGTTCAACAGATACATTTTTTCAGTAACAGTTTAACCTTTCCCTTAATTAAAGAAAAGCAAAAATTATTTTTATTTTTATAAAAATTTTCCGATCGTTCCTATGACACCTATATTATATAGTCGTCCGACCCGTTTCAACTTATACGAAATAGAAGACTAACTGAAATGTTTTATTTAGATAGCTTTAAATATGAGGGTCTAGTTTGCCTATAACTGGACAGACAGACAGATGGATATGGTTAGTTCGAATCGACAGTTGATACTGATCAAGAATATATATATTTTATAGGATCGGAAATAATTTATTCTCAAAGTTGCAAATTTTTGCCCTGAAATCATTTTACAAATCAAGGGCATTGAAGCACTAGATTTTAGAAGCTAATTTTCAAAATAACATTTGATAGTCTGCCCAATAAATAACAACGATATTCTAAGCAATTTGGTGGGTGTTTCATCAAAATCCGTTCAGTCGTTTAGGAGAAATAAACATTTCTAATTATTATATTATATACCACGGAGGCATGAGTATGTACCCCTGGCACCATCTAGCTCCCTATCGATAGGTGCGCTTCCAACGACCTATCGATGACATCCTGGCATCCTGACTTCCTGAAAAAAATTTCTATTGACAATTTGAACAATTGTATAAAGTAAGCATGTCCCATAATTAAAATTGAAATTCTAAACATTTTGGTAGATGTTTCATCAAAATCCGTTCAGCCGTTCAAGAGAAATCATCACATTTCCATTTATTTCCATAAATGTTCTTGTGAAGAAAAAATACATCTGGCAGCACTGCCAGCCTAACATAAGGTCATTTTTATTAAAACTTTATTGTAGAACTTATGGAAAAGAAAGATAACTGTTCCATAAACGGCATCGTAATTCTGAACATTTTGATCCATGTTTCATCAAAATCCGTTCAGTCGTTCATAAGAAATTCCGACTTTTTCATTTATTTCCATTAATGTGCCCGAAAAGAATAAATAAACCTGGCAGCACTGCTGCCAAACATTAAGTCAATTTGATTTAAACTTAATGGTTAAACTTATGCAAGATGAAGGTAATATAATGAACAGCATCGCAGTTCAGAACATTTTGATCCATGTTTCATCAAAATCCGTTCAGGCGTTCATAAGAAAACCCGAATTTTGCATTTATTTCCATTAATGTACGGGCGAAATAAAAGTGTATCCCGCAGCCCTGCCTGCCTAAAAACAAGAAAACTTGATTTAAACTTTATGGCTAAACCTATGCAAAAGGAAGATTGTCCCATAGACAGCATCGTAATTCTGAACATTTTGATCTATGTTTCATCAAAATCCGTTCAGTCGTTAATGAGAAATCTGGCATTTTCATTTATTGCAGTTGGGTACCAGGGGTGCATAGTCATGCCTCTTTTGTAAATAAATTAGTAATTCAAATGTTAATTTCTCCTAAACGGCTGAACGGATTTTGTTGAAACACCTACCAAATTGCTTAGAATAATGATATCATTTATTGAGCAGACTATTAAATGCTATTTCGAAAATTTGTTTCGCAAATCTAGAGCTTCAATGTCCTTGCTTTGTAATATGATTTCAGGTGAAAAATTTGCAACGCTGAGAATAAATTATTTCCGACCATATAAAGTATATATATTCTTGATCAGCATCAACAGCCGAGTCGATCTAGCCATGTCCATCTGTCTGTCCGTCCAATTATAAGCAATATATTTAAAGTTATATAAATAAAACTTTGCAGTTAGTCGTCTATATACTCTCACTAGTATTTATTGGATTAAAATGTTCAGAACTACGATGCCCTTTATTGCTTTTGCATACATAAGTCCTACCATTAAGTTTAAATCACATTTTCTTATTTAATATTTTTTGCTGGGACATACACACATACATACATGTATGTATTTATGAAAATAAATGAAAAAGCCTGAATTTCTCAGGAACGACTGAACGGATTTTGATGAAACATAGATCAAAATATTCAGTGCTGCAATGCCGTTTATTGTATCACCTTTCCTTTGCATAGGTTTAACTATAAAGTTCAAATCAAATTTACTTATTTAGGCTAAGTAGTGCTGCCAGATTCATTTATTCTTTTCCGGCCCATAAATAGAAATAAATGAAAAAGTCAGAATTTCTTATGAATGACTGAACGGATTTTGATGAAACATGGATCAAAATGTTCAGAATTGCAATGCCGTTTACGGAACAGTTATCTTTCTTTTGCATAAGTTACACAATAAAGTTTAATTCAAATTGACTTAACGTTAGGCAGGCAGTGCTGCCAGATGTATTTTTTCTTCGTAGGGACATTTATGGAAATAAATGAAAATGTGATGATTTCTCTTGAACGGCTGAACGGATTTTGATGAAACATCTACCAAAATGTTTAGAATTTCAATTTTAATTATGGGACATGCTTATTTTATACAAATGTTTAAATTGTCAATAGGAATTTTTTCAGGATGTCAGGTTGTCATCGATAGGTCGTTGGAAGCGCACCTATCGATAGGGAGCCAGATGTTGCCAGAGGTACATACTCATGCCTTCGTGGTATATAATATAATAATTTAAAATGTTAATTTCTCCTAAACGACTGAACGGATTTTGATGAAACGCCCACCAAATTGCTTAGAATAACGATGTTATTTATTGGGCAGACTATCAAATGTCGTTTTGAAAATTAGCTTAGGATCGAAAAATTTTAAGAAAAAATTATTACTAGTCCAGCTTGATTGGCAATCTGCAAGGGTATACCTTTCATTTTTAATCATGGTTCAGTGGTCTGGTTCAGGAACTGGTTTTCTGAAGGTTAACATTTGGTTCCATTTTCAAAGTTCGCGCCTAAGTTACAGACCCACATCTATCAGCCACTGTTAAGGGATTTTCTTGAAATCTGACGATTTAAAACAAAAATCTCCTATAATCCCATATACCGTGCATATTTGTAAATGGTATGGGGGACCCCACGTAATTTGTTTACTGTTATGTGATTTTCTTTTAAACTGGCTTTTAGAAGTAAATTAAACTTTGCAGAGCAAAACTACAATAAATATCCCTTATCCTGCCAATGCGGCACATGTTCTATGAGCCGAGATACAAAATAAATTATTGATAAATAAATCCCGCCATTGTATCTTTTCCCATCGTTCCTCTGCTACGCTAACTCATCGACTTTAATGACGTATCGATGTATCGCCTTGTTTCAAATTATCGATAGTAACATCGATGTTCTTACAGCTGACCGAAGCAATAGAAGTTAATTAATTAGTTAATTTCGCCTGTTATTAATTACATTAATTATTATTATTATCATGGCCCGTCACCTGTGAGCCCCCAAAAGGGCGACCAAAATGAAACATCTGCCGGCGACGAGCGAATGCGGAAAGCAAACATCGACATAACACGTCAACAACACGTCGGGGTCGGCGAGCAAAACATACACGACGAGGAGACCATACGGCTCGGGATTACGTTCGCAGAGCATGTGTGATGGCCACCACAAGATCCGCCGGAGATGGAACCCCTACCGCTGAGCCAACATCCGCTTTCAGGAAACTCTCCACGGCCAGCGGCGGTGGCATCGCACCAGGAGCGCCCAGCTGGCAGAGCTGCTATTACTGCACCCGGGAGCACTTTAAGACCGTCAGCGACTTTGTGAAGTGAGTAAGCGAGTTAAACCATAAAAACATCTGCTCCACGAGTGAGTACGCTCCAAATGGAGTCATATTTAGGGACAGGTTGAGTACTGTATAAGAATTTGCTGTACTCGATTATCAGAAAAGGTTTGCCGGTGTTTCTACGAAACTGGTAAATAGGTAAACAGGTCAATTTAGGCAGCAGGTAAAAGCAGGTGTTTTTGTAATATTTACATAAGTACAGTCGATGAAAAACAATAGAATTCGGAGTAGACAAACTCACTCAGAGTGTAAATAAACACCTCGCATTGCTTATTTAACAAACAAATAAAAGTTAATAATTAATTATATCTCTCTTTCAGTCACCTACGAACTCGACACTGCACTCGAGAAGGCGGCTCCTTTGTGTGTCGCTATGGCTTCAATGGCGTTTGTGCCTCTCTTCCATTGGATGGTGTCTCTGATCGCGACTACGACGCCCATGTGGCCAAGTATCATGTGAATCAGCAGACACGCGAAATGCCACCAGAATGGGGAGTCTACTCGGCAGCCCAGAACCTGCCGGCCGTGTTGAACGATCCGTCTCGCGGCAAACAGAGCAATCTATTCACCAAGAAGTGGGGCGAACACTTTGTGGATCGAAGTCATGTGCCCGCCTCATCACGCCTACCAGACATCACGCATGCTGATTTTTCCGTATATCTGGGAAGCATAGGGAAGCGATACCGCTGGCATGAGCGACGACAGCAGCAGTTGGAGCGAGATAAACCCATGGAAAATGGAGGACAAAGTGCGCTAGGATCTGGTGGACAGACAACACCCACACATATAGGCGCCGTGCCGGAGATCTTCCTGAAATCACAACTGCAGCTGCATCATCCGGCCACCTTTAAGCAGGTCTTTCCCAATTACATGCAGACATCCGCTTCCACGCCAGAAACGCACCAGCAGACTGGCCGGCAGTTGCAGGAACAACTGAGTCACTACCTGGACATGGTTGAGGTGAAGATCGCACAGCAGGTTTCGCAGAAATCCGGTGCCTTTTTCCACGCCATGACTACGCAACATGCCATTTTAGCCGAAATGGAGCAGGCGGCGGAGCAGGTGCGTCAGCTGAGAGGAGCATTATCGCAACTGCACAGCCACTCGGTGGTGGACAGCTTTAAGGTGCTGCGTTACGCCCAGCGAAGGCAGCACTACAACCTGACGCTGGACAAACTCCGACTGATGGCCACTGTGCACAAGACGCAACCGATGTTGCAGCTCCTTCTGGGCACTCAGGATTATGTTGCCGCTTTGGACCTGATAGGAACCACCCAGGAGATCCTTTCCGCCGAGCTGCTTGGCATTCACTGCTTCAAGCACTTGCCCATGCAGCTCAGCGAAATGGAGAAGCTGATCGACAAAATGCTTACCACGGAATTTGAACGTTACGCTGCCTCGGATCTCAATCGACCGCTGACGGATGGCCTCAGGGAAACGGATAGCGTTTGTGCCGAGGAGGATAAACTAGTGGCCATCGTTATGGGTCTGCTGCGCAAGCAAAACTTCACCTTTGTCCAATCCTATCAGCAGGAAGCCATTGCCACCATAAGAGCCATCATCAAGCAGCTGCTGATTGAGGTATTGGCACGCAGCGACAGCGATCAGGAGATCAGCCTCACGGGTCACGGAGAGCAGGCCTTGGAGCTCACCCTGCCCGAGTGGATTGCTCTGCTGCAGCGCTCCAGTCAGGCTTTAGTTTCCATTCTCGAACGCATTAAGGCCGTGGTTGGCATCATGCAACAAACCGCAGACGCCGCTGTTGGAGCTCAAGATGCTGTGAATCTAATAGATTCCGAAGCCTTTCTCAGTCCTGGACATCATGAGCAGTTGCATTCGCAGCTGCAGCAACTCCTTCAGGCTGTCTGTCATTACTGCCATGAGCGTTGCGCCAACATTGTCTCTCCCCAAAGCTTGGAGAAGAGTTCTGCTAGCGAACAGGAGCTTATTCAGCTCTCGGAGATTGTGGAACAGTTTGGCGAGACAACGAGAAGCATTTGTGGGGTGGCCAGTGTGCCGCTCCAGTTGGCCTTAAAAGTGCAAGCTTCACGATACGCTCAAAGATTTCATTCGGAACGAAAGCAAAAGTTATCCTTACTCCTCGATCAGGAGCGCTGGCGACAGGTGGACATACCCATGAATTTCAACGTATTATTGAACGAATGGCTGCCGGGGATTACGCCAAGCCGGAGCTGGGCAACCTAATTAGCAATGGTGGAGGCAATCCCGTGCTTCTGGTGGAGGGAAAGCAACCATATACCTTGGTCAGCGCTTCGCTGATGCTCATCAGGATGCTGTACGAGTACGGAGGCAGCGCCCAGCGGCTGCCACTGCTGGCCAGCTATCATGCACGCAACGTAGTTGACCTCCTGAGATGCTTCAATTCACGCAGCTGTCAACTAATCATCGGAGCTGGAGCCATGCGAGTGGCTGGCCTGAAGACCATTACCAGTACTAATTTGGCTCTGGTTTCACGGGCACTCCAGTTGGTCCTGTGGCTGCTGCCCAAGCTCAAGGAGCACTTCCAGGCGATGAGTGGTTATGAGGCCATCGAAAGGGACTATCAGGGTCACATCAAGGAGATCGAGAACAAGATCCATGGTATTGTCTCGGAGCGGTTAGCGGCCCAATTGGATGCCTGGGAGGCGCGTCCGCCGATACCCTCCCAAACGTTCCGCCACATCTCCCGGCATCTGGTGAAACTCCATGAAGCCATCGCTGGAGTGTTGCCCGAGGCACAAATCCATGAAATCTATAGTGTGGTTCACCGCAACTTCAAGGATAAACTGCGGGAGCAGCTGCTAAAGCTGAATGTCAACAACAACGGTGGACCACAGCATGGAGTGGTCACCTCAGAGCTGACCTTCTACATGGAGACGCTGCGCACACTGAAAGCTCTTCCCGCCGAGCAGCTGGACAACGGGATTCTGGAGGAGATTTGGCTTTACTGAGCACAGCATTCCAGAGTATTCCACTTGTTTGTTATTTTTGTTTTATTTATACGATTATGACCGTGTGTCTACTCGCGTTTTGGTAGCCCATTTTTGTGTGTAGATTTCATATTTTTATTTTCCGCCCCACAGAGTAAAGGAAAAGGCGCACCTTTTCTCCTCCGTTACGCACTTTTTTAATACTTAAGCGTAAAGTCACTGAAACGGCTTATGATTAAAGAATAGTAAATAATCAAAAGTAGTTAATGGTGTAATCAATGGTAGGAAATATATGTTTCCTTATTCCTTAATTTTATTTCAGTATTAATTTGAAATATTTTTTCCGACAAGTCATAGCACGAATGATAAGGGTTTAATCAGTAAATTTGTATAATTTTTTAAATGATTTTAAATTGTTTTATTAATTTTATAAAAGACAGCTTTGTATATATTATGTGGTATCATTTTCCAGGTGTAATTATAATCAATTATGAACCACATTCACTTAAAATATAAATAAAAGTCCTATAGCCTTATTTAATAATAATAAAGAAAATTAAATACATTTTTATGTGTTTTAAAGCTAGTTTAATTTATTTTTAACAATTAATTCAAATGGTTTTATATTGCCATTCACATCGAACAACGTTGCCAGACCTCCAAAGTTGCCAATGGCAACCGTTAAAAACCACAAACATTTCGTTTCGGCTTTTCTTTTCACTTTTCTAATGCGATGCGCTTGCCGCAGATATTTCACAGTCTACACAAGCGTCTTCAAAAAATGTTTGAAAAGAATAATGAGGGAGGGGAGAGTGGTACACCCAGCATTCAGGACATAGCTGGCCGGCTGGCGGAGGAGCAGCAGCGACTGCGGCAACTGGAGGCCACCACGATGCCCAAGGAGAGAACGATATTAGTCCTGGGAAGCAAATGTGTGGTGAGAAATCTTAGGAATTAAATTATTTAAAAAAGAAATGCTTCTTTATTGTCATAAATCTCTTGTTTTTCCTTCCAGGGCAAAACCACGGCTATCAATAAATACTTTGACCGCGAGGAGCACACAACGCGGCCCACTCTCGCCCTTGAATATAGCTTCGGTCGCAGAATCGGTAGTGGAAAGTCACCTCAGGTCATGAATGTGTGGGAGTTGGGCTCCCTCGAGAATGCAGAGCAACTCCTAGAGGTGCCCATGAGGACACATGGATTGCAGCAGTTGGCTGTCTTTATAGTATTGGATCTCTCACAGCCACAACGTTTCTGGACTGATTTTGAGTGTGCCTACAAGGGATTACGGGATACGGCCCAGAAAATGATGGAAAAGTTGACCCCTGACCTGAGGGAAATGTTGGAACAGCGAACCCTGGAACGAGTGGGTCAACAAGGCAAAGAGGATCTTGGTAACCAGGAACCACTACCCTTTCCGGTTGTTATTGTTGGTGGAAAGTATGATATCTTTGCTGGATTGGATCCCGCTGTTAAAAAGCACACCTGTCGGTGCCTTCGATCTGTGACCCATTTGATTGGCGGAGCGTTGTATTCTATTCTCAAAAATACCCAAGTTGGCCAAGGTACTAAGGGACACTATAAGTCATATGGGTTCGGAAGTCCCATTCATCCGTTTCGCTCTCATGTCACGGACTTTAATGAACCTCTTTGCATTTGGTTTGGAACGGACAGTTGGTCGCTCATTGGGGATACGGGAGCCCAAAGTGTGGAGCGAATTGGGGCCACTTTTGGGGCGGATGTGCCTCAGTTGCAGTTGGAAAAGCAGAAGCTGCAGGAGATCCCAGATCCGGCTAAAGATCCGGGATTTAAGGAGTCCCTCATTGATGAGATGCGTGCTCAAAAAAACGAGGAACTCGCTAGCATTATGAGGGATGTCCTCCTTCGGGGAAAGTTTGAAAGTGTCTCGAATTAGGGTGACTCAGAAATTTATACAGCACATTCAAAGTATTAAAAACGAAATATTCAGTCCTTATTATGATGTATTTTTGTTTTTAAATGTAAATCTTATATAAAAAGTTGATCAAAGTAGTCTCGGCCATTTCGGTTTGTGTTTTCACTGCTAAATTGGTAAAATGTCTCAGCCTGTTGCTGCTAAGGCTCGTGTTATTAAGATCCTGGGCCGGATAGGAGCTTGTGGCATCCATACCGAGGTCCAGGTGCAGCCGCTCGACTTTCCCAAGATGCATTTTCGTCGGAGTGTCAAGGGACGCGTTCGCATTGGGGATATCATCGATTTCGTGGACACCGAATTAGCAGGACAGCCGTCGTGCAGGAGCCACAGTAATTTTGGTGAAGTGGAATCCGCACTGAAAATGCACTTTCAGGACACCAAAGGCAGTAAAACTGAAAAGTAACGCAGATTAAATTAAACTCTTTGAAAACAAGCGATAAAATTTGGTCAGGAATTTTGAATTATGGCAAATTATTTAAGTGCAGAAATGCTTATAAATTCAATATAAATTTTCCCTTTAATGGTTCACATTAGAAAACTTAAAAATCGCGCCTTTATTATTGAATTTCAATAGCTTTTTAAACTTGCCATTCTTTTACACAACTCTGGCAGCACTCTGTTTTGGGGATATACCGTTAAATGGCGCTTCTCAGCTGAGTGCAAAAAAAGCACCCTTGCTCCATCTCTCTCTCTTGCCCTCTCTTTTGGGGAGCTCGGGCTCCAAGCGGCGCCAGCAGCGACGCTGCGTCGAGGTCGGCTGTTTATGCCTTTCATATGATGAACTTTGAATACGTAAATAAAACAATGACTTATTTATGCAATACATACAAATTCAATAATTGATATTTAATAAAATGCCAGAGTATTCTAAATCCACTTTTAATCAAGCAACAAAAAAGTTGAACAAATTCCATGTAACTTCTTCTGGCCATCATTTAACGCCATTTGCATTTACTTCCTTGAAGTTGCCACCTAATTTGTACAAGGTGAAGTTAGCCGCGCTTCTCCATTTCCATGTTTATTTTTCGTGTGCATGTCTTTCCGCTGTTCTGAAATAATTACACGAATTAGACTTGGCATAAACTTAGTCATAGTAAGCGCTGCCTTCGCTTCGGTTTCGGATTCGCTTTTGAGCTTCAGCTCACTTGCTGTTAACTGTTCTCGCGTGGCGGAGCTCTTTTCCGCGCTGCTCTCTCTGGCACCCGTTCGCAGGCGGCCGTGTGTGTGTGTGCGTTTGTGGTGTGTGCGAGCGAGTGTGCGATTTGTTTGGTGCAAATCTTTGGCATACAAAATAATAACTCCCGGTGCAAGTGGTACGAAATAATTATGAATAATAGCATTCCAGAAACAAGTGCACAATTTGGCCCTGAATCTGAATTTAAATAATTGAAAAGCTGCTGCTCAATGGCAAAACTCTCCGGGAAACTTCGCTCCGTAAAGTTGCTGGCTGCTGTTGTTGGCGTTGTGTAATCAGTCCGAAACGGAGTTTCTTGCTTTTGTTTGTTTTTCTCGGCTTTATTTTGGGCCACAGCAACAACAATAACAACGAAGCCAAGTGCAAAGTACAGAAAACATGTTTAAATTGCTTTGAGGCTTGGGAGTTTAATACAACAACAAAAAAAAGCTGCCGAAAACGTCAAACTCTACACACAAAAGTGAGAGCTCCAGTGAATTAGCACAGGTGAGTTGGAATAAATATTTCACAGGCACACAAACACACACACACACACATACAGTGAACCTACTACTGTGCTCCAATTTTCGTACTCCTCTTTTGGTGCCACAATTATGTTTTTTTTTGGTGGGTCACAATAATAAAAAAACCAGCACAGCCCAAAAAAAAAAACACCAAATTATTGATTTTCTTTTCAGAGGGAGCCCCCCTTCGTTCTGGCGCTTTTTTATTTTATTTTTTCCTGCGATTTTATTCCTTCACGTGAGCGTGTGTGAGTGTGCGTGTCAACTGTACGGGTGTGTGTGTGGGTGTATTTAATCAAGAACAGAAACCGTTTTTCTGCAGCTCCGTCAGCTTACCGTTGGCTGAGCCGAACAGCCGCATTTGCATTTTGTCACATTGCCAAGGCAACGCCATATGGTCGCGCGATCTGATGCCCTTTCGGGATTAGTCGGGTCTATGTCGCCATCACAGGGACCTTGCGTTAGTCGCTCGCTTCCTACTTCCTTTTCCGGTTTGAGATAGAGCTAATAGCGAGTAACGAGTGGCAATTAGCAGGATCGAGATCCGGTCAGGGGTAGTTAAGGGTCTTTATTTATATATCAGGATAAAATGGTAGTTACTCAGAAGCAGTTAATAAATATACGAATAACTGCATGTTAATTTAATTCAGTATTTTTAATGGTAGGTTTATTATTTTGAAAGTTATTTTTATAAAAGCTACCTATATAAAATATAAATAAATTTACCAGAAGAAAGTAAAAATACTGTACATCACACATTCTTATAAATATTTAATAGATTATACCAAAAATATAAACAGTTAACAGATTTAATATACATTTGCTAATAATAGTAACATCGGTAATAAAAAAAAAATTTAGTTATTAATTAAAAGAGTATTTAAAACTGAGTCTTTTCCTTGGCCTTGCTTTTCATTTATTTTTTGTTGATTCCTTATTTTTTGTTGCTTATTTTCTTGGATGTTTATGTACATTGGACTTGCGACGCTTGCATTATTGGGATTTCTTCCTCGTTGACAGTCTGTTTGTTGTTTATTTTGGTGTTTTCATTACTGGCACGCGTTTGTTTCTGTTTCTTTGCTTTTTATTTGTATCCTTTGACCCCCTCAACGTTGTCTTTAAAAAAACACAAAACAACTGTATAAAGTTTTCTGTCGAACATTGATTTCATCGCTTCTCGTGATGACATCAAGAGACCGAGTTAATTTGCCTTATTTGGTTATGCCCACGTTTAGAATTTGAATCAGAAGAATAGCAACATTAATTGCCGCAAGCTCTTTTTTTGGCTCCACGAAAAAATAACAAAAAATCAAAGCAAAAAATCGGTAAAAATGTAATTTATTTTTTATTATTGTATCTGAAGCCGTGACCTGAGGGCGTGAAACCAAAACGTATTTAAGCTTCGTTAGTCGGTTGGTGGTTTTTGTGTCTGATGATTAATCATAATAATATATATTAAGACCCCTAAGTCCATGCTGTCGGCATTGTCGGCGGTTGGTAACAGTATTATGTGCATTTTGGCATTGGTTACTTTCGAAAAAGCCTTTCAGCAAATACAATAACCTTACTTTATATACCATATATATTATAATACATATTCATAAATACAGATAAAAGCATGGCCAATGACTTGCACTCGAAAATGTTAATTGAACCATGAAAGAGCGTGTAAATTAGAACTTTACTTATATATATTTACATATAAACACGCTAAAAGTGAAGATAAATAATACAGAAATCTGCTAATTAAAGCTTCAAAACTGGAATTTTGAACACAACAAAATATAATAAAGATCGAGTGACAAATGATGGCAGCACAAAAAAAAAAGAAGTGTGAAGCGAAGATCAAGCAACAATTTAATCAACTTTATGATCTCCAGTTGAATAACAAAAACAAAATGGGAAAGCAATCGATTCAGGGCGCAATCAACATTTATTATTAATTGTCAAATATAATTTAAGATGGCAATTTGTCGCAGAGTGAATTATTACTCTTTTGTCTGCCTGGCAACCAAGATGCGATTGGGGTTTGGATGGCATAGAGAAAGATACAATTTGCATACAAATTTCGCGGAAACTTTTTAATTGGGACATTGCGGGGATTATAGAATGTCCTAGGGGATTATAAAGATTAATCGATTCAGTTTTGTTTATAGTTTGGTGAAGAATTGAAATTTATTTTAGACCTTTAACTTATATACTATTAAACTTTAACAGGAAGATTTAGCTAAGCCAGAGTTATAATATTTTACCCTTTCACTGTTTTTTGCAATCATATGATATGATTTAAGCCCTGGTAAAGGCTTAATTAATTTGCATATGTATAATTTTTATGATTTAATCAACGGTGATAAGAGTCTAATTTATGGATTTAATCAACGCGTAATCCCTTTATTTACCTACTTTTTGTTATCGAATTTAATCAATTTAGTTCTGTTATCACTATGATAATCCGATATTTCCCAGAAAATTACCTAAATCAAAGTTATCTTAATGATTCCATTAGGAAAAATATTAGCATAACAATTAATCAATCTTTTCGCCACAAAATTAAAAATTTTTGTTTATATTATAATATAGTTTTATAGGACAGTTTTTTTTCGATAAATCAATGTTTAAAAAACTCATTCTTATCGAACATAAGTCATACTCCCACGACGGCAATGTCAATTGTTTTTGATAAAAACACAAAAGAAAACCGAAGTTAAACCACTCAAGAGAATTAAAGAAAATCTTGGGGAAAGTGTTATTTTTTGTATGGTTTGGTGTTTGATTTATTATCACTAACGAATACATCATATGGTGGGTGTGTGTGTGGTCTGTTTGTCTAGAAATTTATCAAGATTTCGAGGACGTGGCTGCATACAATTCCAGACAGACAGGAACAAGCTTCTTTGTCAATGGGCATGCTCGTAATCTAATGGTATCTGCAAGATACAAAGATACATTCGCAATATGAGCGCATTATGTGCATAAATATTACAGATGCGTCTTCGGAACGAATGCCAAATGTCATCTGTCATTGGAAATGCAAAGGCATGATGTCAAATGTCAGCAAAGGATAATGGAACATAATGCCATTAACTGATCGATATGATTGTTATTCCAAAGGAGGTTCGATTTCGAAGGGTATTTTGTATGCTTTACAATTTAAATTATTCTGTAAACTATTATTATTATGTTCAAGATTTCAACTGCAGTTGCATTTTCCCAATCTCAAGTTTTCCCAGATTGCATCCACTTTTTTTTATAGCGGAAACTTAAAGTTACCTTTACATTAATTAACTACTCCCCAACCATGACCAGACTGACCCTCGGGGATGCCCCTAACTGGTTCAGGGTATGGAACACAAAAAAATCAGTGCCCTGGTGCCGTAAAGAGGTAACGCAGTTGCCTGGAGCACAATGAACTGCCATAGTCGAGAACCGGGCGAGGAAATGGGTAGCGACAGCAGTCGCAGCTCACTGAAGCATCAAACGACCAAAAAGGTGACTTAAAGCTGCTACCCGGGAGCCTTGAATCAACAACTTCCGATTCCACTCCGCCCAGCAATTGCATTCTGTGTGCGTGCCGAACAGAAGAGCGAGAAAACGTGAACGGGTACGGGTACTCTACATCTACGGAATACGTGTAAGAGTATACGAGTATCTGGCAGATACAACATACATCCATTCATTCATTCTGCTGACGGAGCGCCATGGTCATAAATGAGCAACCAAGCACGACAGCGATGCGGCATCCCACTTAGAGAGGACTGATGGATGTGGATATGCTCCACCTTTCTTTCCCCATGCATCTCACCCACGGTGAAACGATATTTTATATATAAAGATATAGTATATACGAGTGTATGTTGACGGTTGACAAACGCAAAGTGTGCATAACTCTTAGTAGAGCATGAAAAATTAACTTTAATTCGATTGTAGGCAGGCAGTTCCCAGATGTCCCTCCCATCGTCGCATGTTGGTTGCAGTTTCATTTTGGTGCGGCAATTAATGTGCGATAATTAAATTGTGATATCAGCTGAACAATTTACCAATTAATGCTGCCAAAGAGTGTCTGACGATGATGATGGGCATGAGACCATGAGACTCGAGAAAGTCTGTGGTTGAGGGAGGCCAAGGCATCAATTGTAAATTGAGTGAAATGCATATAAATGGTTTTATTGAGGGCTCTTTCATTTAACATCTTTATTATGATTGAAATATTTTTGTGGAGAGTTGGGTATATAAAAATATAATGAAATTAAAGTCTTAACATGTTAAATTTGTAACTTTTCTTTTGACCTTTTGAAACCTGACCTGTGTCAATACATTGCCTCGGTTCTCACGGTATCCTTTCGCTCCCAGAGACTTGAACTCCACTTCCTTTCCTGCTTTTCAACTCTCCTACTTTACCCCATAGTCCTGGGCGTCCGTGATCCAGCTAATGAGCAATTTAGCAGGAGCACTCACACTCTCCCGAAAGAGGCAACGAAGCGTTAAGGCCAGCAAGGATAATGCCACAGACACTTGAGCCCGGGGATGTGCTCAGGTCAAACGGCAGTTGTTTATGTGCGAGGAAAACAGGATCTGTTCCCTAGCCTAGCTGGAAAATTTGCATGCCTTGCATAGACAGAGTATCGACAACGATGATGATGTTAACAACCACCCTCGGCGTCCAATCAAGGACGAGGGGGAAGGACTACACTTTTGGTGGTGACTGTTTATGCTTTATGAGCAATTAATATGTCAGTTAGCAAACTGGACAGATTGATGGGGTTGTTGCCTCCGAAAGCAGACCACCAAAGCAATTAGATTGGGAACTGTCACCGGCAGGCACGAAACGCTGGCAGCGCAACTTGGAAAGTTTTTCCTACGCTTTCCACCGTGGCTCGTGCTCGGCACGTTTTTGCATGATTTCCGGGCGCACCCTCGCCGATTTTCAGTGGTGGACTTTGGGGTTAACAAGGACACTCCCAGCACTGGGAAAAATTAACGAAAAATTTATTTCTAGATGGGAAAAATGTTTTACTTAGAGAGGGTAATATAAATAGATAGATATATTAAATGTTCAGTGTTACACAGATATATTTTGGTATGTATATTCCTTTTGATTTATTATTATGCTTTTATGGAATATTTATTAACTTTCTTAGTTAAGGATGACTTTATTTTTTTGTCAGTGTACCTTTTGTAGGCCGCTTCGAGCGTGTGGCACATTATCCTTAAGCGTCGCTGCGGCAGGCGCTTGTCTTTATTTCCAGCTACAAGTGTAAATGCTGAGAACAGCTTTTTCTCTCCTTGGGAGAAAGAGGAAAAGGAGTTTTGCATGAGGTTGTGAAGGATTCAGAGGAATGGGAAACAGGAACCAGAGCTGGTCATGACGCGTGTGTCCTGGCCACAGTTCCCGTGGGAATTTCCCAGGATCTTAGATCGTGGGTGTGCGAAATTATTTGTGTACGGCTTTGGCGCGTGTTAATGTCAGCCAGAACTTAATCCTACTTTATTTACTTCATTGGGTGTTGCTTATTATATATTTAACTAAATAATATTAGATGACATTAATCTATATAATAGCTTTTTATTTTATTTATTTACTTGACAAATAAAGCCCAAGACTTTATCTATTCCAAATTAAAATATAATTTGCATAACCACCAGTTCTCATTTCTCATATTTGACTTATTTCTTTGCAACCAATAACCAAACTTTATTCAGCCAATCAATTTCAATCATAGTCTCCTTACCAACTCGTATCCTTGAGATACATTTAACTTTTGAGCCTGGCCAGGGATAGGGCCCATGGCTTCTCTCTACCCGCAAAAACCAATTCCAGAGATGAGAGAAAAAGAAGCAAACTCATAAGCCGACACCTACACGTTCTGTGTATCCAATCAACCTACAGGCGATATGAGAGAAGAAAAAATATATAGAATTTCAGTTGGGAAGAAGAACTTTAATGGACATCCGGCTTTTATTATGCTTGGTCTTATTATTATTATTGTTTTACCACCTTCAAGGTGTGTTGTGCTGATGACGAAGAAGAGGAAGAAGCACCTCAAGTGCAATTGAAAAAGCCAAAACCACAAAAAAAGCAACAACTACTATATAAAAACGGCAACAAAAGCCACTACGAATATACTATCTTACCGTGTTGATATTTGCGTTGGCAAAGGAAACGACTTTGGATGGAAAATGTGGAGGAAAATCGAGAAGACCGTAGATAACGCCTTTGGCTAGGAACACTCTTTGCCTCATTAAGCACTCTGTAGGTCTTTGGTTTATGGTCCCCCAACTAGAAGGAAGATTAACAATTGCACAACTATACATATATGTGTGGCACTTTTTTTCTTTGTATGTGGGTGCCGATTTTGGCGTGGTCTAAAACAAGTTTAGGCACTTTTACGGCCATCATTAATCTTGTGGCATGCCCCACCAAAAAGCATAGAACAACAATCAGCAAAGCCACGCCTCGAGGTGCCCCCACTTGGATACTATTTTCTTTATTGATTCACCTTCCGGTGTCTTGAGAAACTCATTCTCCCACATAGAAATCATTATTTATTTTCAACCGTGGGTATTTTTAAGAGAAGAAATTTTTAAGCTAATATTTATGGCCTTAGATATGAAATAAGAGCTTGGAAATAAGTAATTATAAGGTATCTTTAATTGCAGATATCTTACACTTTTGGTTTATTATTCTAAGCAAAATATGTTTATTATTTCATTTCTAAGATCTAAGAAGTATAAACTATAGGTAGGTAGTATTCTTTATTAAGACTTTGAATCTCCTTCCAATCTCTTAAAGCCCCAAGTGCAGATTTCCTCAGACTCATACTCTCCTGTCTCGAAATACACACACAATTTGACATTCGCTTGGCAGTTTTTCCCCTCCCAAGGAAATGGACAAGAAAAAGTCAGAGTGGGGGAAAAAAACTGAATTGCATTAATGCAATTTTAGCTGCTGAAGAGGAGACCAAGCGAAGGAAAAACTAAACGGGCACGTTCCAATTGGTGTCCGCGGTTGGTTGTCAGCAGCTGTATCCGAGGCTGTGTCCGCATCTGCATCTGGTTTTAGGGCTGGCTCAATTTACATATTTCGAAAATAAAAACTTGAAATCATAAAGAAAATATATAGTATTGAATTTAAAACAAAATATATCAATTTTAAAAGGGAGAGTTGTTCTTAAATTGAAAAGAAAGATATAATAAAGCATAATCTTTAGTTTAATATTATATAGAAAATGTCGTATTAACAGCAAAGCAAATGGAAACACTTAATATATCTTTGAAATTTGAATATTTTGGTTTTTCACGGGTAGATTTCTATATAAAATAAACTGATAAGCGACGAAACTACGTTGTTTTAAATAGTGAAACCCAAACCGGAAATTAAAATAAAACAATATTTTTATATGAAAATTTGTTGGACAAATCAAAGTTTTAAAAACTCATAACTAAGTCAAAAATTGTTTAATTTTAATTCGGAAAGCTTTCCTATGCTAGTTTTTATTAGATTAATAAATCTGCGTACTCAGTTTAAAATGTAAAAAAAAATACATTTTTTGTTCATTTTTGACAATTTTACCCCTTAAAAAATTTTCGAAATTTTCAAAATTGTTTTTTTTGAAAATGGCTAGATTGACTCTCCTGTTGATGCTGATCAAGAATATATATGATTTATAGGGTCGGAAATGACTCCTTCGCACGTTTTGGGCTTCTGACTAAAATTGAAACATCATAAATCGTTAAATCAAACAACTTTTAGTTACTTTAAACAATTTGTATATAAAAATATAATTTAATATTCAAATTTTTTTATATAAATCGATATGTTTAAGCCATCCCTAATCGAGCTGTGAGACATGAAAGGCAAACATACAGACAGACCTCAGACGACGGAGCCGGGAGTCCAATGGAATCATTCCCAATTGCCGGCACATGACTCCAGCGATTGCAGAAATACGCACAGAAATGGGAGGGAGAAGTGTGTCTGTTGGGGAAATGCTGTAAAATGGAATTGCATTACACACACTTTAGGTGCCATTTGTATCTCGAAAGGGGGGCGGAGAGCAGGAAATAATGGGATGGAAAATGATGCGCCAACGAATTGGACGCGTAATGGTTAAGCGAGAGCTGAGCCATAATTGAGATATTTATAGTTATGGCTAAAGTATATAGAGTCGAAGCTAGAAATTCACTCTTAACCTAATGGGAGAAAGTTGATCCGTTTGCTGTGTGTCCCAAAGGCATAAAAACTAAGCTGCAAAATTGCCAACTGGTTCTAGCATTAATATTTAAAACCCCAATAGCCTATGGCTATCTGAGGCCTTCAACATAGTTGGTAAACAATTAATTATGAAAATTAATTACAAGCTTTGGAAATTTCCAATATAAATTTACCCCAGATTTATCTCTGGGCCACGGGAAACCTTTATTGCATTCCCCTAATAGCTTTGCCCTAGTTTCGCAGGCTTTATTAAATTGAATTCCTGTGAAATTCTGTTCAGTTCTCACGGCACTTCACCCCTTTGCCAGGTTTCTATGCCCTCCTATAATGCTGGTATTTATTATACTTCTATTTTGTTTTTTCCTCTTTAAAGCAATCTCCTCTTTTTATTGCCTCTAATCCGTTAAATGCTTTATAATTGCATTTGCAACCTTATCGCAGGGACACTTGAAAATTCCGTTGGCATTGCGGGAAAAGTGGGAGGAGGAGAGGGTTTTTCAAGGATGCCTGGCAAAAAGGGGGCGGAATAAGGGTCAGAGGGAGGCGTGCGCAACCCTTGGCTAATTGCTGGGGTGTGAAATGTGTGTGTGTGTGTGAGTATAATTTTAAGTACTCGGGAAAACTGTCCACCCTTGTGAGAAGGGGGAACCCCTACCATAGAACCCTCTGCGGGATATAAAATTGATAAAGAACGGGAGTTGGAAATACCCAAAGTAAACCACTTTTTATCGCATTAGATAAATATTAGCTGAATGAAAAAATCTGCAAATACCAAAAGTTTAATGGAAAGTAAACCACTTAATGAGATAAGATAATTCAAACATATTCAAATACATGAATGAGCACTTTGCTATTGATGCAGTCTATTGTACCTTTAAAAGGTTATTATAATTGCTTTCTTATTTTATTTTATCTGTTTCTTGAAAATAACTATGTAGCTGAAATTGTACTTGCAAATTTTAGGTAAACTCTATGTATATCTTTGTAAATATATATCAAAGATCAGGTTTATAATTATACATTTTATATATTAATATTAGTTAAAGTGTTCAATTTATTTTTTATAATTAAAAGTAGGTTTCATAATCAATTGTATATCATATTAGTACTTGTTATTTACAGTGCATTATCTTTTTTTATAGAGACTTTAAGCTCAAGTTCATTCAACCGCAAGCCAAGCTTAAGACCCCGTAAAGCTCTTTCACCTGCCTACCAAGCTTTTAACCCTCGAGCCACTCAATCTTTGCGGCAGCGACGTCTCAAGATGCCACTCAAAGCAGTGCTCTCATATGGGGCTAAAAAACATACACAGTCTTGTCCAACATTAGCTTGGTCATATATTATATACACATGTGTGTGGTATCTTAGGGCCATGCACATGCAATTTTAAATTAAAAACAAATTGTGAACACGAGACCAAATAGAGGCGAGAGACACATTCATGACCCTAATGACTGTGGGAACTTTTTGCGAACGTCACTGACATTGCCAGCTGAGTGCCCAGAGTGTGTGTGTGAGTGCGTGGCTCTTAAGTTTGCTTTAAGAGAGGCTTGAGCTTAAGCATTGCCAACTTGAAGAAAATGTTTGAATTATTTAACGGTCATTTTGCTTGGGTTAACTTAATTTAAATTGGATTTTCTTAATTTAGAAAATCTATAAATATTTAAGTAGTAAATAATTTAATATGATAAATAGACCTTAACTAATCAATATTCCCTTTTCTTGTTAATTTCAGCCATAAAAGGAAGCATCTGAATATTAAAGGGTAAGTTTAAACTGTTTTATAAAATTAAACTAGAGAAAAAATAGAGAGAGAGAAACAAGTGCTACCCAAAATAAACAAATTTTAAACCTAATAAATTCTTATAAAATATAATATTTTAATCACTTTAAATTTAAAATAAATTAATAAATTTCCCCAAAAACATTCTTTAAAATATCTTAAATCTTAAAATCAATGTACATCTTCGCTCCTTCAAATACATTGTACCACTTTGTAGCATACTTCTCTGCACCATTTAAACAACATTTTAAATTCCCTCAGCCCTTGATTACTTACATTTTCAATTTGTCGCCAAATTATTTCAATTATTGCCCAACAATTGATTTGTTAATCTTCTTGTCTCCAAATGGGAAATGGAAATCCCAAACAATTTACCCAACAATTTGTAATGGTAATTGGCTTCTTAATCGCAATTATAGACCCCCGATTGGTTTCAATTCGAGTGAATTGGATTGTATGGGGATTGGATTACTCATGCTAAACCATTAGTGTGTATTTGAGCGTATTTGTTGTGGCCTTTTGTGAACCTTTCATTGCAGCATTTTGCGCATTTTGATTGAAATTTTGATTAGGTTGCACATGTGGCACATTGTCTGTACCTCGTCAGACCCCTCTTGACTCCCAGACAGACATTGATTTCTCAGCTTGTGGCCATTTCTACATTTCCCACTTCTCTTTTACCTTTCATTGTCTGGGCCTTATCTATTGTCTGTTCATTCCAACGATGTTGCTGGAGTCATTCGTTAGTTGTGGGGCGGTGTAGTGGGCGTGTCTGGGATCGGGGGTTATACATTTCCTGTGGTATACTTGTATTCATTGTGGTTTATCTGAAAGTGACGAGCATTTGCAATTGAAGCTTTAAAACATTTTACCTAACATGAAAGAGAGAAAAAATATCAATAATAAATCCAGTGTTATTGTACCAGTAAGTATGCTACGAAATATGCATATGGCGATGCTTCCGGTATCTCAAATAAGTCATTGCCTACTTTTGTACAGTTTTGGATTGCTTTTTAATAGTATCTGAAATACCGATTAGATTACGTTGCCACATTAAACACAATAAAACACTAATAATTAAAACTTAACTAAAATAATAAAAAAAAGGTCATAGTTCTTTTATCAAGTATATGTTCAAACGTTTTATTTGCTCTTTTAAGTCAGTTAGGTAAACAAAGAATAAGATTAGAATTAGTTAAGATAGGGAAGCAGAACTAATGTCTCTGTTTTTTATTCTCAGTGCAGCTGTGCTTTTTGCCGCGATTGCAGCAATTTGTTTTTTTCTGCATTTAAACTGCGATAATGTTGGCGTGATTGGGAGCCATGTGTGGGCAGCAATGGTTTGCTCCAAATAGACTTGGTACCATTTTTTTACTACCACATTTTATGTGATAGCTGGTCTTAATCCAGGTAAAGCCACTTCTGCATTGTAATTTTCGCACGTTCCACACAAAGAGAAAACACTCACTCTTAGGTTCTCTTTAATCATTAACCTCACACACACAAGTACAAATGTATCTAGCTTGACTTTATCTAACTCTCTCTTAGCTGGAGACTTTCTCTTTGGGAGCAAGCGACGACCTTGCCTCTCGCTCTTCCGTTCGCTCTCGCAAAGCGATCGATCATTTGCCATTGTTGTCACGGAATTTAGGTTGGGCAACTAATTCAAATCGATAAGTTCGATACGTTGATTACCGATCCCTGATTACTGGCTCGGTTAATCAGTTTTTTGTTCTTTTGTTTTTTATTCAACGTACGGTGACATTTCATAACCACTTGGTGTCGATCGCATTCGGTTCAAGTTGACTATGGTTCTAGGGTAGCTCTCTTTAACGACTCTCTTTAGTCGCATAATCACTTCACCAGATACTCGCTCTCCACACACTCCACGAACAAAAAATACTGGCAGCTGCAGAACCAACGATACCAACTGGTTTTAGATACCCTTCAGATGTTATTAACGGGTATTTTGATTAAATGAATCGTTTGTCAGTTAAAATCATAGCTTATATAATACAATAATATACATTTTCATGTTTAATATATTTTACATAAATTTAAAATTTCGATCTAATATAAATATTGATCTAAAGATTTTTTCCCAGAATTTCTTTTAAACCTGACTTTTACTGGGGTTCATATATATCACATCGAGATACAGAAAGTATCTTCCTTGATCTAGGTACCTTTCTAAGCCTACTTAACAATTATTTTAATACCTTCCACCCACTAATTATTTTCGGGAACACCTTAAAATATTCGTTTGCCTTTTCGAGAAATTTCCTAGCACGTGTTTTCCGAGAATTTTCACCGCCTAAGCCGAACCGCAAATCCCTAAAGCCACGCTTATCTCAGCAAAAATAGTATCTTGGATTTCAGCAGAGCATCTGGGATTCTACCTGAACCTTGTAGATACAATATCTCTCTCACTTGCACTCCACGACATCTATAAGCTGCAACGACGCGTCGCAGTTTTATCATTGCCGTCACCATCGGCAACAACAACCAATGCTCGAACCTCAGAGCGGAGGTGAGATGGAAGAAGCAGAGCGACGGCTGTTTGTTGTTGGTAGTAAACACAAACACAAAGGAAATGAGCGAATGAGCCACAAGCGTATAATTACACTGAGAAAAAATTACGATTTTATAGGAATTTTAAACTGCTTTAATGGAATTTTAGTTGTAGAAAATTAAGTGTAAAATGTTGCAGATACGTTTTTAATTATACGATTTTCATACCCTTGCAGGGTACTATAAAGTTTTATACACAATGAATAAGTCATTTCCGACCCTATAAATCATATATATTCTTGATCAGCATCAATAGGCGATTCGATCTAGCCATGTCTGATAAAAAAAAAATTGTTAACATTTTTCCATTTTTTAAGGGGTTCAAATTGTCAAAATTTGACAAAAAAAATTATGTTTTTTAAATTTCTAAACCTAGTATATAGATTTGTTAACCTAATAAAAACTAGCACTGAAATGGTTTCCGAATAAAAATTAAAGCATTTTTGGCCTAGCTATGATGATTTGCCTGATCGAAATTAAGGGGTATAAAACCTTCGCCATACTTAAGTTATCTTCTTTTTTTATTTTGTACTATTTTTTATTTCCATTCCCTCAGTTTTAAAGTTAAAAAAAAATAAGGCGCACCTCTGCTTGGACAAGTGCCGATTAAACCTTGATCATATATGATCCTCTAACAAATATCCGTTGCAATGAGTCAAATTATTAAAAAGAATGTTTATATGTAAGGAATTCAATATTTTTAAAATTATTAATTTATCTAGTATAAAATAAAATATTTATCTGATATATTTCTTATTATTTATGGATTATATTATTATTATATGCAGAGAGATAATGAATAACTTATTTTTAAATTACATGGTTATATTTCCTCTTCTTATTCTTCAAACATTTTGTTCCCCAGTTATTAATAACTCATTAAACATATACAACTTTTTCTCAGTGCTCACACTTACACACACTCACACACTCTGCAACAGCTGTCGCTGTTCGCTCTCTTCCGCTCTGCTGTCCGCTCAGCTTCACCGCTCACCGCTCAGCGCTCAGCGAGTGAGCCATGCTCGCCACAGTACAGTAGAGCAATTCAAACCGCCGAATCGAGCAAACCGCTTACCGCTTTGCCGCTTGCCGGATAACCGCGTTCCGTTTCCCTCCGCTTCCATTCGATTTTGACCGTCGCCGTCGTCGGTTTAGCCAAATGTCCGCGTAAAAGAAGTGAAGATATATCCGTAAAAAATCGGGGGGGTCAATAGCAGCCGGTAGCTTAAGTGGGCCGAACCCAGCCATCCATACATCCATCCATTTTACCATTTTAACCATTCATTCGGTGGGTCTTTCTCTCTTTTTTGGGGGATCGCATTTTGCATTTTTATCGTCGTGTCGTTGTTTTTCGGTGTGCGATTTTCCCCACATTCCCCCGTGTGTGTGTGTGCTGCTAAGTGTGTGTGTGCGAGGTGTTCTTGGAATAGAGAAATACTAACGTACCACAGTTGGAATATTCGCTTCAGAGTTATATAAGGCCCGAACCGGATTTATTTATTAATATATACGGATTGTTTGGTGATCAAAACAAAAATAAATTGGCGGACAACAAAACCTGAGCTTGGATTTACTTGAAAAAAAAAAAAAAACCGAAAACAAGACACACACACTTTGAAACCGATTTCTATATATATAAATGGTAAATTTGACTTGAATCACAACAAATCCAGAAAACCAGTAACAGCAACCAAAGTTGAGCTTGAATCCAAAGAGCTTCGAGCCAGGTTTAAAACGAGTTTATTTTTTTACGTTGGCAAAAATTTAATTTGCATACAATTCTTGAATGTCTTTGAGGTTGTTGTTGCTGCTTTGACATTTGTGTGTGAAAAAAATATACAAAATATTTTGAATTTTTGTAAAACTTTCAGTTTTTGTTAAAGTATACAATATGCATGAGTCAAAACGCAGGCTTAGTTTATTACAGATAAATTTTAACAGCTGTCTAAAGTGACACAAATAACTATTACTATTAATACTTATGCATTTTTCTAAAATATTTAAAATAATTAGGGGTTATGACCATTATCATGAAATATATAGATATATAAGCAATTTGGCTACACTTATTCAGCTAAAAGTGAATAAATCTTTACAGTTTGCACTTGAACATGGTAATTTGGGAGGGTAAACAAAGGAAATAAATAAAAAAAAGCAATTTACAATTAGCTAGCTGGTTTTAGCCTCATCGCATGAACGTACTATATACTATATACTATATACTATATCTATATAGTTCCGATTCGTCTCCAGTCTCTCACGTCTCTGGGTCGATAAATGATTCATTATTTCGCATGACTAAAACTGAATAAACAATTGATGCACTGGAGGTTGTCAAGTTAACGATCAAAGCGAAATCGAAATCTATCGGAAATATATTCTGGAATATTAACAATTTAAAATAAGTTCAA